AACATGAAATATAGAATGTTTTGTGAGAGTAAGAGAAAAATAAGAATAGTCTACATTCTTATCAGTTAAAAATAGCAAGAATTACAAGAATTGCTAGAATAGCATTAATAAATATAATAGATATTTTGTTTTTATTTTTATTATACAGATACTGCAAACATTAAAAAAATAATAATTACATTGAGTAATAGTTTTTATTTTCATCATAAATTCAAATATTTGTTTAGAATTGATATTTATTATGAAATAATAATAATTTATTGAATTTCAAATGAAAAAAGCTAAATTATTTATCAATATGATTAAATTATCAACAATTATTGGAAAATATGAAAATAACTGTAGACCTAAATTAAATTGTATACAGTCAAGTCCACTTAACAGAGCATCATATAAGGGAGCAGTCTAAGAGAACACTTTTCCATATTCCCAATTTTCTTCAGTATGTTTTACACAAATTGGACTCTTGTTAACAAAGCACCAGGTAGTAGAGCAATCCATTTAATTAAATGAATACAGTGTCAGTGGCTTTCCAGAGTAAGTTTTTATAAGTGAGCACAATTCTAAGAAAGATTTATAAGGGTCTGTGTTTAATTTTATGGTATGTCACCACCCAGGGTGCATGGCAACAGGGCTCTCTACGAGGGATATGGATTAGTGTAAAAATTACTAACTCTGACTTTGTCTTAACATCCAACTCTGATCAGGGGCGGACTTGTTACCGAAAGAGACTCGGAAATTCTGATGTCATCATGTGACCTCAGAATAAAATATTCAATAAATAGAGTTGTAATAAAGATAGAGCGTAGAAACTTTTTATTCCAAAGCTAGAAGACTTCTCTAAGTAATATATAAATATGTATTCGATAATTTTTCTTTTCCGGCTGTTATATATAACAGAGGAAAAGTGTAGCGCTTGGTCAAAAAATGACCCCTCCCAAATTTTTACATTTTTGGACTCAGGACACCTTGAAATTTTGAGATATGAAAAAGATTTGAGATTTTTTTCTATATGTGTGGATGTTAGACTGTGTGTGGGGGGGGGGCATGATTTCATTCACCCTGTTTGAAGCCTAAAATTTCTGTGGTCAGAATCGGAGTCAGATGGTTTAACACAGGAGTTAGTTATTTAAGTCAAAGTAGTTGAACTAAATCGTGTCCCCATATACATTCTAACATATTAAGCGAGAACATCTTAATGGGTTTTACTGTATTATTATAAAATGGCATAAAAGCTTACTTTGAGGTAAAGACGTCTTTTATTTTATTTTTTTAAATTTTTAACGCTAATAACAAATAAAATATTCATTAAGAGATATGACACATTACCTTTTCTATGTCTCCACTGTGTCAACCTTTAATTAAAAAAACCAAAATTTAATAACATTAATGCCCTTTTATACAGAAGCTACTGTGCCAAATTTTGTTTATTAATCTTTACCCATTCTGAGATATTGTTTAATATCTCAGAACAGAGAATAAAGAAATTAAACAAGTTAGATGCCAACACACATATGGGAATTTTTCCTCTCTGACATTTTTTGGGTTTAGGTCTCCAAATGTGTAGATTTGCAAAAACTCAGAGAGTCACATTTGATACAATTTCAATACTTTTCCACTTTATATACATAACAAGTTGAGAAAGTAAAAAGGAGTCTGGAGTCAGCAGATTTTTGACAACTTTGACAATAACTAAAATGCCAAAACTCCACAACTCTGACTCTACAGTCCTGCTACAGTATTTGTTGAAATATGGAGTATGGTTGATGAAGTAGAGATGCAGATGCAATATGATGGAGGAAGATGGACAAGAAAAGACAAAACGGAAATTGTTCATGAATCAACAAAATCTGTTTCTCATAAAGATGCACCATTTCATTTAAGTATGGTGAGAAAATATTTAGAAGAAAATTTTACCAACTGTAATGTATTTTACAAGAGTGAGATGATTGAAAGGAAAGTTGTGAATAATCTGAAAGAGATTAGACTTCTTTAAGTAAATTTGTTTAAGTTATTGCTTGAATAGTTATGATAGTGCATATAGTTAACTTCCATATTTGTAAATTCTTGTAATAAAATATGATAAATGTTGTAAAAAATGTGATGTAAAATGTTCCCATTTACATGGTCTAAAAATAGTACACAGTTCTTTTACAACATAACAACACAATTTGAACTTTAATTTCTCAAACAAGCAAGCAACACTCAGGCACCTAACAATTAATTTATAATCACCACACTGGTTCTTGACCAGCCACACAGCTACCCACTCTGGTCAGCACTGACAACACACCAAAAGGAAGTGCACAATTTCTCCCTCTCTAGGCGGGACAATCTCACCCTGCATTCTTAGGGATACAATTATATCAACTCACCTCACGTGTGACCATTCTGTGGACTGTACATCAACACTGGATAACATACATACACCTGACACACGTTACAATTTTGTTTAATTGTATTTCGGACTTAACAATAAATATAAGTATAATACTGAATGGATAAAGTTATTTGTTTTTATATTGTATTTCCCATTAGAGAGCATATAGAAAGTTTGGAGCAAGGGTGATTGCACTTCTCAGATAGATCATCTACTACATTTTTGGGAAGTGAAATTAATGTGGCAGATAAATATACTGTTTGAAAATTGATGATATAAGAACAGAAACCAATATGTGAAGTAAAATTATGTGATAATAAATTTTAACACTTCTAAATGTGTTATAAGTAAATATAGAGCATCTAGGCACTAAAAGTAATAAGTTAAATGATTTTTAGTGTCTATTTATCCTAACCTCACTTATAAGATACAGGCTATAGTAGTGGTGTGTTATCCATGGAAGCTGTGGAAGTGCCAATTCCCTTGTATTTTCTAAAATATAAATACATATTGTTCAATTATTTTCATATTTTAATTTACTCTGAATTATTTAAAATCAATATTTTATTATAATGCATTATGTATTTTATTACAAATTTCTGTAAAGGTGAAAAATAATGATTGCTATTGTATATTTGAATATAAATTCATACATGCATATTCCCAATGGAAGCGCTGTAT